GGGGGGGGGGGGGGGGAGGGGTGTTAGGGTAGGGCAGCATTTAATTAAAGCAGCTCCAAGATCAGCTCTAATTAAAGCATTGCTGCATCTCCTGTAATCAGCATTCCCGCACTTAAAAAATGGCAGTGGGGCACTTGAACTAAACCTCGATCGGCGAGTTTTAGTTCAAGCGCCCCGCCCCCACTGCCGTTTTTAAGCATGGGGATGCTGATACACAAGACGCAACTGCCACACTCAAGCAGACTCGACTTAATCGAGTCTCCTCCGATGCACTGGAATTCCAGCATGTCAGAGCAGCCTCCGTGCTTGTGCATAGGAGCCCCAAGTGCCTTTCCTCAAGTCCCAAATATCAGGCTCTGTCCCTGCTCTATGCAACCATGACTCTGGAAATATCTTTCATTCTGTCTTCCCAAATACAAAAGTACAAGTCTTATTTTGGAGGCGTGTGGTATGCAAAAAAATATATGGCATGTTCTTCATGATCATTTTTCAGACTAGAGTGAGTTTTAGGATTCTTTTAGTTTCTGTAAATGAGGGTTGATGGTGCCAACTGAAAAATAAGGGAGCTAAATAGCAGACATGTGTTTTATTTAAGAAAAACAAAAACACCCAAAACAAAACAAGCCCCCCCCAAACAAAAAAACCCACAAAACCCTGTTTTAGAAGAAAACTTCAGAAAGTCATTTTCACTTATCAGATAATATGCCCATTTTAGTGTGGTTTTTTAGAAGTCATTTATAAACATCTGTTCCAAGTTCCATCTGGTTTTCTAGAATATACAACTTTTAAAGGGGAAATCTTGTTCAGTATCTAATGAGGTCCATTATGCAATATATGCATTTTGACTATTACAGTGACTAAATAATTCAGATATGAGGAAGACATGCACATATTAGGATAAGATAGATAACATCATACTCATAAAAAGATGTGGTTAAACTATAACCAAACCAAATACAATAACAAGCAAATGTTTTTAGGATTTCTAGGATAGCTTATGGCCTCACCTGAGGTAAAGTAAAAAAATATTTAAACTAAAAATATACACCTAACATGCTGAGAAACATCTCATGGGCAGATCTGGTTTGAAGATTAAATGAAAGGCTGAATGCCTTTCAAATACAGAGATGCAATTCCAGGCATCATTTAAAGTGAAACCAAAACAGTCCAATATATGTATTATGTGGCTGACTCGAGTTAACTCTTCAGTGTAAGAATACTCTTTTCTGATTCTCATTCAGAATCAAATAAAAAATTCTTTTAAGTACACAATCTTTACCCACTGAAATTTAGGGCTGCAGTATTTATTGTATTAATACAGTGATGGAAGAAGAGATGCAAGCACAATTGCTCTAGCATTCAATGCTGGCAAATTATTTTGCATCTCTGCTGCTTTGTGTGTGTGGAGGTGTCACAAGAGAAGTAAGTGATGCGCACACAGTACCTCTCCCTCTTCTGACTCCATAGAAATCCATTTTTTCTCCACCTTTCTTCTCTTTGTGAGGGCCTCCATTGCTGCTTTTGCCATCTTCTCCCCCACATTTAACTTCACCTTTTCCTTCAACTGCAGCCTCTTTTATATCCTCAACCCTGAAATTCCCAGAGGTCATGCGAATGTGCTCAGGAAAATCAGCACTTTCCAAGAGATAACTTGGATCTATTTCCAGGAAATGGGATGAGAGCTTTAAAGGTCCTCTGGCTGATGTAATGATTTCCAAGGGCTACAAATTAACAGCAGTATCTAGTTAATCCTAAAGTACATATTTTACAAAATTTGAGTTATTAAATCAGAGGATGAAGTGTCCCATTTTCCATTTTGTTAAAAACTTTCCCATTACTGAGAGTTTCATCCCTCCAGAAGCAAACGCCATCCTACAAGACATTTTTTATTATTTTCTAGGTAACCTACTCACATTCAAAAGCCTATTCAGCCTTAACGTCCCCATCCATAAAATAGGGATAACAAGTCATTTGTCTATCCTCAACACTTTTAGATGTTTTGAAGTTTAGTATTTGCTGTTTGTGAAAAGGTTTAAATACTTAAATTGTTTAAGTTAGTTATCATTTAAATTTCATCTGGACTTCTCTTAAGATTGTATTTGGAATATTAATAAAGATTGGATCAACGGACTTGACTAGTACTTTGAAGAGGTAAGATGCAGTGTGAATTATTTTAGATTCAGGTACTACCAACCTATGATATTCAAATCACTAACATTTACACTTGAAAATAAAGAAAAGAAAAGAAAAAGAACAATATTCAATTCTCCTTATAATATTATGCTATAGATTCTGATCTAAATTTGGTGCTCTAACTTTAACTGGCTCACAATGTTACTGTGATAATTTAATCACAATACCTGATGTGAACAGCATGAGATATTTGCAGTTAGGTTACAATTATTTGAACATGAAACTTACAACTTTCATAAAAAGACTGTGAATAACATCAACTGCCTTCTTTAAATCTGCACTACCATAGGATTTAAGATTACGCATATATGCAGAAGGGGGTGACATGATAAAGACTAGAGAAATGGTAATATACACATTCCCAAACTCACATGATATTTGCAATCAGTCATCTTGATGCACATAAGTTCAGATCCTAATTTCACCTATTAGATGCCTAAGGGCAATTCCATTTCTACCTGCTCATGTCCCTGAAAAACCATGAATGCAGCAGGTTAGTGGGTCTTCCTCCTCACTTTTGGAACTTAGTCTTTATGCTAGACGAAGACGCGTTACAAAAGTAGACAAGTTAATTTTTCAGAGACAAGCAGGGTAGAATAAGCTCACACTTAGGCACCCAGTCAGTGGAACAAGATGCATGCCACAACATGCCACATCCAGTAGAAGGAGTGGCTAATCAAACAAAGTCTATTACAATACCTCATTCCCCTCAAAAATAAAGTTGGCCGTAATTGTTTTAATGTGGTCCAGGTTCCGCTCAGAAGTGAAGGCAAGATGCTATTCATTCCATGACCCATGTTTACTTTTCCACTACTATTCATATTTAAATAGAACCACACAATAGAAATAGTTGTTCAACTTGAAATAAAAAAAAACTCAGGGTTTTTTATTCACCAAAAAACCCTAGTTGTTACTGAAGATAATTAAACCACAATTTTCTGTTCAATATTGTAGCTATGCAAACATCCACTTGTACCACTGATTTCCTAAAAAAAAAAACAACTGCACGCTAAGTGTTGACAACAGGCTAAAAACAATACCGGGACCAGCTGACTAAACACAGGAAGTTGGATGAAGGTTTTTTTTTTTTTTTTTTTTTTTTTACACTATTCAGGAAATTATTATTTTTTTAGTAATAAGTATCATATACATCAAGAGCTTGTTTTCATTAATATGTAGAATAGCTGTTCTAGATCAAAAGATAACATTCAATGTCATATGAAGCCCTTAAAAAAGTATTTAGATGTGTAGCTGCACACTTCACATTTTAATTCTCAAGCCTAGGGCACTTACACCTACAAATGTTGCAAAATATAGGCAATCACAGCCTCGCAATACAAGGAGCCAATTCCAACTCACCTATTTTTCACCTGTTACTGAGAATTAGGCAACTTTTCCACACTGGTATTTAAAAGTAAAAACCTCTTTGATATCAAGCACTCTCTCTTTAAATTCAATTTTTCAAATGGAAAGACTTCCGCCTCTTTTACAGTATGCAGAAAATAACCTTGCCACTAAGCAAAAAAAGGATGACAAAGCTTGGACACACTTATCTAATCCTTCCCTCAGACCCAACCTTGGGCATTTCAAGAAAACCTACTAGTGAAGATGAAGTCTATACTGATTCTAAGACTGCAAGTAGGCAACAGAATGAGTCTGCCAAACTTCTCATTAAATTTGGTTTAAGACAGCAACCTGAATCTTTCCCAAGTTTGAAAGACTAATGCAATAACCCACTACCATCTACTCGAATATTAAAAAGATCCAGTGTTCTCTTAAGCCTACCAGGCCATAAGTCTTCTATAATTAAGGCACACCATTTTTTGCAACCAATAGGACATGAAGGAGTGAGGTGGATGATATCATATCAAACAGCTGACTCCTTTTTCCAAATGACCCATTCACAGCTAGGTCAACTAGAGGCAGCTTTTTTGCACAAATCCAGAGTAAAGATTAAACTAGAAGCAGGGATGAGAACTCTCCCCTTTAACATGGACTTAAAACCCAAAAGGGGTTTGGGGCTTTGAATTCCAATCTCACATGGGCACCTAACTCAGGAGACAGAGAAACAATTTCAGACACACCCTCACTTCAGCATTTCCTGTTGTCTGCTTGTGGTAACCCTGTCATGAACAGCCTATATAAATACTATTCTCAAGGGTAGAAACATGGCACCTGATGTCTCATTTATGCCACCATAAATATTTTTATGGCAGCACAAGCATTGAGCAAATAGACATTGTTACCCTTTGTCATACCACATCAGAAGAAAAATCAGTGGTGTGACAAAAGGTAGCAGTCTGCAGCTTTATTGTGGCAGACATCTATTTCCTTGGTGGTGGGAGAGCGTGGGCAGCCTGAGCTGCCTGCACTGTCCAGCCACTCCAGGCAGGTCCTCTTGAGGCTTGAGGACCCTGAGGCTTAAAACTCCTGAAGCAACTGCCCAGCTTTCCCCTCTTATAGAGGTGCCCCAGGAAACTTTGGAGCACCCATCTGTAAGTGGTGAAGTCAGGGTTCCCCACTTACAGAGACTGGCCACTGCTCTCCAGGAGTAGTCTCCGTAAACAGGGAAGGCCTCCATGGTTCCCAGCATGAAGGGACAGGACCTGAGGAATCCCTAGTGCTCTATGCCTCCACTGGAAACTGGTTTTACTCAGGAGTCCTCAGAATTTCCAGTGTGGACCTCATCTAGGTAAGTGGGGAAAGTCAGGCTTTCCCTGCTTATGCAGACCTGCCCCTGTAGATGCCAGAAGTGGATCCTGGTGAGAGGGGAAAGCACTATTTTCCCCACTTACTCAGATGGGTCCCCAAAGATCTCAGGTGGGGTCTGGATAAGCTGAGAAACCCAGACTTTCCCTGCTTATCCAGACTTGCCCCTTGGAGCTACAAGGACACACCTGAGTAAGTGAGGAAAGCCAGGCAGGTGCTCTCAGGGACAGAGGCACCCAATTCTGCCTGGGAATTCCTAGGACATGCAGAACCAGGCTCCATAAACCCAAGGGAAACCTATCACCCTTGTCCTTGATGGTGACGTACAAGAAGCAATGTGCGTTTGGCCCATTCAAGCAGATCAGCTGATCTGCTTCATTCACTGACATCTATTTCTAGCCATACTTAGCTCACATATTGCATAGGGAATGTATGTGCCTAACTTGGTATTTTGAATTCCACTCTAAAAAACAAACAACTCAAAGTCAGGAATGGCAAAATTTAACATCATCATGCCTAAACCCTTTTACTGATCTGGCCCTTTGTTTCTATGCATCTGCCCTACGTCAATGTGGGCAAGACAGGGATAACAGAACTTTCCTAGCTCAAAGAAGTATTATTAGGTACTGTGAGATACTATGAAGACTATGAGATAGAGAATACCGGGGGGCTGTGCAAGAGACTTAATATGTATCCTATTGTTTGTTAGTAAATCACTGAAAATGGAGCTCAAACATTTAGAGGTGCAAGATATAATTTATATGCATCTTCTTTTGTTCTTAGTTCACATCAAGAAGAGTTGCTAAATTTATTACATACTGCTTTAAACATTTACCTATTAGTATAACTTTTACCTCTTCTTGTCCAAGTTGCTCCATAGAATCACAATAAACTTCACTGTCTGAATCACTTGTCAAATGCTGAATTCCTGAGACCTCTTCAACACTCTCTTCATTTGTACCTGTACGTAATTAATAGATGGCCAAACACTTATATGCAGTTCTGGCAAACATAAAGCAATAACTCAATACTTAAGTGGGCTGCACTTCATGCTGTTTATATGGTAATCTTGTTTCACAGAGTATATGAAATATAGATGTTATATAAATCAGATTATAAAAAATTACTTTGAGGGGGAAACATCCTTAAGTATTGGGTGCTCACCCATTATAAAGAGATTCATTTTTCATTGTTTGCTTCACTTCCTTTCCTAAGTGCGATATGGATTTGAACTTTAGAATTAAGTTACTGGTACTCTAGAGCAACAATTTTCAATTTTATTTTTTTGTTTATTTATTTTTAAGAGACTCAAGGCACCCCTCTGTAACTTTTGTGAATTGACCAGCATTTCAAATGCTAATTTATTTATTCATGTTGCAAAGAGGCAAGGCAACTGGGTATGGAGCACCAGCCAGACCAAGATGAGCCTGAGTCTGTGCTTATTTCCTCACACCTCCCAGCACCCTTTAACAAGATTTTACACCACCCTGGTTGAGAATCACTACTCTTGAGCAGGTGCTGGCAACATATGTAATGTGGAGCCACTGGATCTGGCTCGTGGAGCTGGAGAGCTTTATCTGTGCCTACACCCATGTCATGGATGGGCAGTGAGGAGCTGCAATGGCCAACTGGAAGACGCATTTTATGTGCCGCTGCCATGTCTCCCCCACCCCTGGCTGCAGCTGCACTGGGGCCACACAGCTTCCAGCTGTATTCACACTGCAGCCAAGAGATTGTGGAGGGCAGCAGCAGCAACAGCAGCATGTAGACACAGCACAGCTTCCAGATGCCTGGTCACTGTGCACCATCTGGAAACTGTACTGGCTCTGGGAAACAGAGGGAAGTGCCTGGCCCAAAACACAGACATAGGCAAAGCCCACGGCAGACCAGAGCTAAGTTGTTCCAGCCCAGCTTGTAAAGGTTGTCAAATGCTGCTTAAAAAAAAAAAACAAAAAAACCCAACAACTTTACCTCATGAAAACAACCATTGGGAACAATAATACAGATCTCAAATGATTTCCACCTCATTACTGCGTTTCAGATTCAAAATACATGAAATTTTAAACACAATAATTAAGTTTCTCTAAGTAACATGTGTTTTGGACTTTCTCTCTTCCTGTGAGAGATCTAGAGAATCTCAACCTGTACTCTGATTTTAATCCAATTTAATTTTTTTTTTCCTTAAAGATTCTGTGGCTGAAGGGCACCTGCACAGTCTCCAGCCTTCCATATTCAGAGACTCCCTAAAGTTTTGTTTTGTTTGTTTGTTTAAGAAGAAATATTCCCTGAGCAAATGATAATGTATTCATGTAAGGACAATACCTTGGTGGACATTGTTATCAATTACTTCTAGACTTTGCTCCATTTTCTTTAATTCTTCCTCCACATTTATGCCATTCAAGGCAGATTTTGTCTGGGTGCCATTCTGTGCATCTGGAATAAAGCTGTCCTTGTAACAGCCATTGGTGACAACACGTTCCAAATCTTTAGCAGCCGCTGAGTCTGGCTTCACATTCTTATATTCTATGAAAGAACAATGAAACCCTGTGCAAGTTATCAATAAAAAAAGCCATGTGCCCAATGGTGCAAAACATCTTTTCAATAATTGACTTTCTGATCTGCTCCATGAATGTTTAATATATCTTTAATAGTCAGAAACAAATTTAAATATACAATTTTACTTGAACTTTTTCGCAGCTTAGTTTTTGTTCCTTTGAAAAGCTTAAGTTTCAAATGCATTTCTTTAATTCAGCTTAGATAGCAAACATTTTTAAATACACAGCAAATCCACTATAGACCTCAATAGGAAATTTGAGAGAATGTCAAATTTTCTTGAAGAAAAAAACGCTCAAATATCAAGTTCTAAATGCATAAATTCAAATCTTTTTTATTAGAAATCTTTACAATCCCAAAAATAATATCACTGAAAACTCACTTTAAGTTTTCCCCACTGAAGATGAAATAAGTCTGTGCTTATATCCTATGCAGCTATTTGCACCAATACAACCACACACAAGGGAAGGAAATTCCACAACTAAAACAAAATAATACAGAGCATTTCTTAAGCCCTTGTTCTGCAAGGAGTGAGAATAGCCACATATTTAAATTAACAAGGCTAGTGAACATTCAGGAGACTGCTTTCATGAAACATCTTGCAGGGTTGCCCTTAGTCTTAACCTTACAATCCAGGTTGAAAAGTGCAGTTATTCTTCATGCATAGCATGTGTGTTCTTCAATTAAAAAGAAGAAAAACTCATCTACTCAGGTATAATGCATGACTTCTGAGATTTTCTGGTGCAGAGGGGAACAGAAGGCCTGAGACTTGGTAGGGGAAGAGGGGAGGAAACATAAGGATCCAAGACTAGCAGATATACCATTTGCATTTAGTTGTAGGTCTTTTTCTTCTTCATGAACCTCTTCCTCCTCTGATTCTGCTCCACTATCACTGCTTTCAGCTTTACCATTCAAAGCCTTTGGATTTGGAGTGGAAGTCAAGGCATTGCCAAGGTCTAAAGACAGATTTATTTAAAAAAAAAAAACAACAAGAATCTTAATACTTATTCTAAAGCTAACATTTCTATAATAAAATATTACTAAATCATTGTCTATAGGATTTTCAGGTGAGAAAATCTTCCAAATAGACTCAACGTTAATTCCACCTTAGCCTTGTTTTATTCTTTTAAATGAAACCATATAAATGAAGATTAAATTACAACATCTTTTTAACTGCTGATGAATTTCTTCATAGGGTATAACTTGCCCGAGTGACTTAAGCAGGCTGCAACAGTGATTTAAGCAGCCACTCACAATCATACACTAGTCTGTCTGGAGAAGTACACATTAAAAAAAAAATGCAGGGGCAGAGATTCCAATGTTTAGATGCTGAAATAAATACAACAGAATACATGCGTTTGAAAGTCTTGTTACATAAGTATTTTAAAAAGCAAAATTTCCTTGGAATATACATTTAACTCAGTCCAGAGCTACTGATATATGCATGCATGCCACACCTGCAATCACTCCCAGATCACAAATTAAAATAAACATTTTTATCTCAATATGCAATCAACTGCAGGGTAAACGTTCTTTAAAATAAGAACAGCAAATTTAGAATGTTTCTATACCTCTACCAGATTATATATATTGAAAACCATACATTTAAAGGATATAGAGTAACAATACATAGTAAAAGTACAAAGCAATAAAAGGGTAGAATTACAACAAGATCCTTACATTCTTGAACTTCGACTTCAAAGCTGAATTCTGTCACTTTTCATTGCCAATCTTAACAGAACCATTTTACATTACCTTCCTGAGAAATTAATTCCTAAATATAGGGTGTACTACCAGCAGCAAACAACATGCAATTACATTAAAGCTGGTAAACCTGCCCTGCTACTTTTGCTTCGGGGTAATTCAGTGCTCAGAGTTTTGTGCTTAAACTAATCTTCAAGTGGAAAGGCAGATCAGCCTCCCACGCTCCTCTTGTTTCAGGGCTTGTCATCCTCTCTAAAAACATGGTTTTTGCCTACAAGTTAACTAATGCACATCAGCTATCTTGAGCTAAAAACACAGTGAAGACACAGCATCTTAGTTTTGCAGATGTAACCCACAGTAATCGTCAAGTGCTGTCTCGATTTTGCTTACTTTGAGGTAGCCCTTAAGCATTAGTCAGCACAAGGTAAGAAAAACAACAACTATAACAAAGCTTTCAGTAGTGAAAAAAAACCCTGGAACCTACAGCCTGCAAGACCACAAATTAATATGTAGTTACTTGCTCCCCATGCAAGAAAGCTTCCTTGCCAGGAAAACTACTTCACTGCAAGCACTTCACCTTGGGAGAAAGAACCCACACCACACTTGTAGGCTTAGCAGTGCTACGCTAGCTAGCACTGTGTACAAAAAAGACTTGGGGGTCATGATTGACCACAAGATGAACATGAGCCACCAATGTGATGCCGAAGCTGACAAAGCAACCAAAACTCTGGCCTGTCTTCTGATGTATCTCAAACAAGACCTGGGAAGTCATCCTCCTGCTTTACTCAGCCTTGGCGAAACCACAGCTGGAGTAGTGTGTCCAGTTCTGGGCTCCGCAATTCAGAAAGGATGTGGAGAAGCTCGAGAGAGTCCAGAGGAGAGCCGGAGCAGGGGGAAGGAGGGCATGGTGGAAGCTGCCAGTAGGCTGAGCAGCCCCTGAGTTGTAGGGGATCCTGGTGCTTCCTTCCATGGCAGTGGTACCACCTGGAACTGCTCAGGCAGGATGCTATCAGGCTGGGGCAGCCTGAAGAACAGTTGGATTAGGCTGGGTGCTGCCTCCGAGCTGGGGCACCCCCAGCCCACTAGCAGCCCACCCACATGACCCTGGTGAACACCGCCACCATAGAGGGAAAGACTGGGGTCCCCCAGAGCTCAGGGCCTCCCAGCAGCTTGCTCCCCTGGCCACAGGCAGGTTCTGCAAAAAGACAGGCTCAGTCCCCACACCAAACAGAGCCTGCCTGTTGGATGCTGCCCCAGCTCAGAAGCAGCATCCAGCCAGATTCAACATTTCCCCGAGCCTGCCCAGGAAGCAACACCCCATGCACTGTCTCCGCCACCTGGGACCACCTAGGAATGGGCTGGCTTGCCCCTGGGGCAGCGCAGGGAAGTGGCAGGAGGGAGGCAGGGTGCGTTGGCAGCCGGAGAAAGTGGCAGGGGTGGTGCATGGGGTACTGAAAGCCCTGGCAGGCTCAGAGAAGACTTGAATCCGGCAGCTGCTCCTCCAAGCTGGGGCAGCCCCCAGCCTGTTAGCTGCCCACCTGGGCAGCCCCAGGGGGTACCGCTGCCATGGAGGGAAGGACAGGGGCCCCCCACAGCTCAGGGGCTGCTCAGCCCAATGGCGGCTTGCCCCTCTGCCCACGGGAGACATGGGCAGACTCCATGGGAAGAAAAACACAAAACCAGGTTCAGGCCCCTCACCACTTCTGTCTTCAGTCTGCGGCTCCTACACTGGGCAGCCAGCCATCAGATTAAAGGCTGTAACATTACAAGAAGCTATATTGCAAACTAAACTACAAATCGGGATGTGGTTTATTCTGCAATGTAACAAACTCATTTAAATTGAGAAAAAAAAAAAAACCCGCAAAAAAACCCGTATATGTAATGTGTGACCCAATTAAACTGCAAAAAAATGGGCAATTTCCAGCACATGTACAACTGTCCATACAGCTTCAGAGGCAGGGAAGAACTAAAATCTAAGGGAGTGATTTTCAATCACAGTGTAGGGGTTCTTTGGGGTGCTGCCAGATACTTTGAAGTGTGCCACAAACTGTGAGGGGATAAATGAGGTATGATGAGATAAGCAGATGAATTAAGCTCAGGCTTGTCCCTGCCTGGATAATCCCCTACCCTAACCAGCCAGCCCCTGTGTAATGAGGTAAGGCCTGTAATGCAGGGGTGTTCAACATGTGGCTGTTGGAGCCTTAAGTATCCAGCCCACAGAGCTCCCTACGGATCAGGAAAATTGGCAGTATGGAAGTGGTAGCAAAAATTATGGCCCCACTGCCAAATTCCCAAGCCCCAGCCCCATGTGGTAGGTTGGGGCCAAGTAATGCCCTCCCCCCTCCCCGCTATAGCTGGATGAGGCTGGGCCATGCCTCTTTCCCCCTGTAGGGCCAGTTCAAGCCCCCTTCCCCCTCAATCCCCCCTGGGGTTGGGCTGGGCCTCTCCTCCTCCTCCTCATGGGGCTGGGTTAGGGGCAGGCCAGAGACACCCCCCCACAGGACCAGGTCATGCCCCTTCCCCACATGGGACCAAGTTGGGGCTGAGCTATGCCTCCCCTCTCCTCCTGGTGGGTCAGGTTGGGGCTGGCCACGCTCCCTCACTCCCTCCCCCAAAAGGGGTCTGGTTGAAAACAGGATGTCCCCTAACCCTTCTCTGTGTGGCCATCAGCCAGGGTCCTGCCGCGGCTGCCCCAGGTCAGATGGAACCATCAGGCAGACCTGCCCCATAGACAGCCTGGGCACTGCCCAGCTGGCAAACAAGGTTGAGCACTGCTGCTGTAATGTATGAATTCATTTTGAAATTAGGTGCCACTCAATTCACAAAAGTTAGAGGGGTGGGGTGCCTCAGGTTCAACAACCACTGATGTAGGCTTTTAACTCTACCCAGGTTACTGTTACATACACCCACACCACCAGTTCATTTTGTTTTTCTTTTTGCATTGCAGAAGTTGTAGTATTTAAGCATATTCTCTTTTAATTTGAACAGCATGTTATCAAAGTTGGAGTTCAGGAAAAACACTAAAGTTAACAGCCCTAATCTCAGCCCTGAAACATGGCTTGGAATATTTTAATAAGGGATATTAGTCAGGACCCAGGCTTACAGCTGACCCAATCAGTAATGCGAGTGGCGCAGTGCTCCCAAAGAACATACTGAGGAATCAGTTCAATACTGAAGTCTAGAGAGCCACAGCTCATGTTGTACTCTGACATCACCATCACTTATATAGCACTCTTATTTTGAATGATTTTTCTACCAAAGCCCTCACTAGGTACAACCATGCTTAACGTAGGCCTGACAAGATCAGAACTCAAAATGGTATTGCTACTGTCTTCCTCCCTATCTATTTGTGCTCCTACCTAAGAACGTTACCTCCGAGTGAGAAACTGGACAAAGTGCCATTGACTACTACTAATTAGAGCCACCAAAAGAATTTATGGAGCCCATTGCTGTAGTAGTGCTCCTGGTTATCCCTTGAGCAACATACCTTTGTGGCAATAAGGGGCAAGATTTGGAGCAATTCACCTCAAGCTGCAGCAGACGAAGTTTAGGTTGGAAATTAAGAACTTTCTGACTCAGAGAGTGGTTAAGTATTGGAAAAAAGTTACCTAAAGAAGTTATGAAATCTCCATCCTTGGAAATTTTCAAGAGCAGATGGGACAGACTCTTGGCTAGGATGGTTTAGAGTCAGATATGATCCTGCTTTGACCAAGGTGCTGGACTAAATGACTTTGTAAGGTCCTGTCCAGGCCTATTTCCAATGATCCAGTGTGGAAAGACAAGTGTGGAAGGAAACTGTTAAAACTCTGATTCACTTTATGCTAGTTTTGAACATCTCCCTGCACACCTGTCATTTTTATTATTTCAATCAAAAAGCAAAGTATCCACCTTTATGTTGCTCCAATACTACTGGTTTAGTTTCTTTTCCTCTTCTGACTCTATATTTGATAAAGAGAATGAACTATATATAGAGCACAGCATAATATGAACCAAGAGTGATATAAAATATAAACCACATGATATGAGAATAGGGGAAATGCCCCATTGTCTTTCCTAAGCCAACATATTATTTTGTCAGTTCAAATGTCAAGTTACTAAAAGGATTTTGGAAGGGCAATACAAAAGCCACCCTCCTAAAAGGAGTGCCACAACTCTGCTTGCTTGGTATGGCACGCTTGGGCAATCTCTTATGAAGAGAACCTGGCTTCTTATCTCTGTTGCCATCCCACTTTTGGAGTTTACTCAGCAACAT